ATTCAGACTCAATATAAGGAAAAACTTCTTTGTAGTCTGAGTGTCCAAGGTCTGGAACAGACTTCCCCCAGAGGTGGTGCAAGCACCTACTCTGGACTCATTCAAAAGGCGTTTGGATGCTATCTTGCTGGGATCATTTGATCCCTGCAGACTTCCTGCCTCTGGCAGGGGAGCTGGACTCGTTGATCTCACCAAGTCCCTTCCAGCCCCTAATGTCTATGAAATCTATTTAACTCTTCCACAGAATTACCATGTGACTTGGGGAAAGTCATTTCATTGCTCTGTGCCTCAGTTTCCCTGCCTGTAAAATGGACATAATGAACCACCCCCATCCATTGTCATGCTACTTTTAAAGGGTTTGGAGCTCTGTGGAGGAAAGCGCCATATAATGAGTGGAGATTGCAGTCTTCTCCAGAGGGTGGCATTTGCAGTGAAGATATCTGTGACCTTTTAACTGATCCTCTGGTATTTAGGCACCCAACTTCTATCGTTGCAGTGCAGTTTTGGTGCATAATTCTCTTGGACTCCTTAGAAAGTCTCAGGAATGGTGGACACTTTTCTTCAAGGAAGCTCTGAGGCCTCCCGACTCTTACACCATCCCAGGCTTCTACTGAAACCAGGCCTTGTTCTGCTATGAGCTGCTGTGGATTATAATACACCGGAATGGTATTCCCTTCACAGATAAGAGGTGAACTTAGCCAACCAGTACATTTAGGTCTGTCTGCTTTCTCTTAAGGGCCCAAAAATAATGTGCAAAGGCTCAGAAAAAAGCAAAGGACACTTCCAGCAGAGCTCACCTTCCTGCCATTGAAGCCCTTTCAGAGCCTGCTGGTTCCCGCAGCGCACTGTTTAGACCAAGTGCTTGCAGCCATAGGCATAACTGCCTGGCCAGTGCCATGCATCTGGCAGCAGTGGCACATGATGCATGTGCAGTGGCTGGAGGTTTGCTGCTGCTGGGGGAAGATGTCACCTCCTTTTTTTTTTCCCAATTGACTTGTATTAAGAATCCATTTAAACACTGCAGGAAAGCAGCAGGGGATGGGACGCAGGTTTCATGAGTGGAGGGAAGGCAATCCCTAGCTTCATTCCCACGCTCCACCTCCAGGCACTGCCCAAGGCTCATGCCCATGATCATACTACCTCTGGGAGCTCATCTGTTAATGGAGGATGAATTTAGAAAGGGTCCTGGTTCACAACGGTTGCCTGTTTCCATCTGTAGCGTCTTCTGCTGTTTGACACAGACATCTTACCTAGAGTCTGCCCCTGCAGCTATTAAGGCTACAGCTCCATGGGATCAACTGGTGAAAGCCCGCAGCTGGCTCTGATTCCTGGAACCCAAAAAAGCCACCAGCTGCAGTGATCATTATTTTGGATTCTTTGGCAGGACCCTCAAAAGGCTTCAGGGCAATTGGAAGCTCTGGTGCCTCTGCTAGGAGGAGCTGAGCATTTTTAATGTTTGATGTGCCCTAGGACTGATGCATTATAGGCTGGGATTTTCCTACGGTCCTAGGAGAGTTCAGCACATCAAACATTAAAAGTGCTCAAAACTCCTCTAGGCATCTCGCCAGATCCCAGCCTTCTGCTCTTCACTGCAATGACAACCTCCCTAATAGAAACCAGAACGGAGAAACAAGAAAGGGGCCTTTCTCTTCAGTGCATTTGCTTTCTGGAATGTGGAGACAGAAAGGGACAGAGAAAAGGGTGAGCGGGAGGGAGGGGAGAAAGTAAATGAGAAAGAAAACGAAAGGGAAATGGGATATCATGTTTCCTTTCCCAGGCTGGCATCTGATAACAGCTGCTTTCTCTTTATGCTTGCTTTTTCCTGTTCCCCTAATTCAATCTCTTTCTCTTGCTTTCCTTTCTTTCATCATCTGCACCGTGTCTCCGTTGTTCTGCTGCCTGCTTTCAGGATGTAGGATTTTTCCAGAGCAGACAAAGCCATTTGGGCTCCCTTAGAGACTGTTACCCTCTTCTCTTCCTCTGCGCAGCAGTTCTGGATGAGTCTTACAGAATCATGGAACCGCAGGACTGGAAGGGCTCTCAAGGGTCATTTCGTCCGAGCCCCTGTATGAATGCAGGAATGCTTCATTTTGTACATTTTCCTCTATGCTTGTCAGGCTGCCTTTGCAAAACCCATTTCAATCATTTGCTGATCTCATGTTTCAGCAGCCATCTGCCCAAACCCATTTTCAGTCCTGGGGACTGTGTGTATATGGGCTTGTTGTGTATAGGGGCACATAAGCAAACAGTGTGCAAGCAGCTGGGTGCAGACGTGTGTGCAGCATCATTGGGCATGTTTATGTGTGTGCAGGTGTCGCAAGTGGGCAGGACACCCTGCAGAGTGCCATTTGGCAACCAGGATTTCGTGCTTTGGCCAAGACACTGCAAAAGATCTGTTTTCTTTGCACCAATCCCCAAATAGCCAGTCTCCTCCCACCTCCCCGAGCTGGCATGTCCACCTACCACTTTGAGAGCTCTATTTTGGGGCTGGCTGGAAATATAAGATGATGGGCACCTTGGAGAGGCGTGTTTACTAACAGAAAACTAAAGCTGGTTAATATTTCTCCAGTGCTTGATTTTTGGGATGAAGACACAACTTTTCCTCCGAAGTTTGAACTATGATGAAAAAACAGGACTGTTCCTGAGTTTCTCCTCATTTTCTCGCTGAAATTTTCACAAGACACTTCAGCGACAGGCTGAATAACGAACAGGTTTCAATGATACAGTAAAACGCACTGGCCGAGTGTGACTGAGTAGCTGATGCTGCTCCTTAAGGACAGGCAAAGTAGATAACGAACCTACTACTGCTGCCTACCAGTGGAGATCTTCTGTGGCAGAAGGCTTCTTACCCGCTCTTTTCACACTAATTAGTAGCTAAGACCCTTGAAATCTCTGCTCCACTCATCTTACTTGTTGAGTCCTTCCTCATGCTTTGCATGAGGTGCAGACACGTTGCACATTTACTCTGGAGTTGTTTACCCCATAATTTACTCCCCAGTACATTTTAGACTCTATGGAAAGGGGCAGATCAATGGCCAGCTTTCATAAGCCAGCTGCCTGTAGTAGATGCTATTTCAAAGCCTGGCCAGGAGGTTATTCAGAGGTTCAGGAAGTTATTTCAGAGCCTGGCCAGGAGGTGGGACTAGAGCTGATGTGCATTGTATGAGTGTGCCATAAACAGTAAAGGCAATACCATGTCATTAATTTCCACACATCGATTCTGTGTGGATGACTGCACACAGATGACTAGCAAAATGTGTCTTATCTGCAAGGATCTTGGTGATTCCAGGGCTGAAGCAATTCAAGGAATTTGCTTCTGACCAAGAACTTCATGAGGCCCTTCAAGAACTGCATCATAGGTGCCTCTGGAGTGAATTTGAGCTTGGTAGTGGACCCAGGACACATACACAGAGTGATCGTCTCTACTGGAGGTTTACTCCTGGCTTCCTCAGAAGTACCTTTGCCCTGGAGAATAGCGTCTTTCTAGAATAAACACTGTACGTTGTGCCCGCGCAATGCCTCCTGAGTACACACTGGAGCAAACTTGCCCTGTGTCCACACCCACAGTCTGCAGCAAATGGATGTGACTTGATTATCCCCAACATCTCAACCAGGGTTTGCTTCCCTAGGCCCATCAAGGGGTTTGATCCCGCTATCCTGTGGCTGTCTTCAGGAGAGTGGGACCGCGGAGTCCTTGGACTCACCCTGCAGCGCAGTCAGTCTTTGAGTGTCACAGTCGTCCTGCATCACCAAAGATCAGGTGCCCTGATTCATTTGAGCAGTGACTCTGATCAGCTTTCAGCCCTAGACAATGAAACCACTCCGCATTGATCTGAAAACGAAACTGCGGCAGTGCTGGAATCAGGCCGTGATGTTTAAATATCATTACGAACTTAGCAATACATCCAATATCATTACAAACCCAGCAGTGCAGCTTTCAGCCAACCCTGCTTGCAAATGGCTTTATTCCATCTGAGTGGGAAATAGATAGTTTCTCCCAATGCCTTGGGAAAGGTTTTATCTTTAATTGATGCTTGGCCATCAGCCACAAAAAGCATTGATCATTCTGTATTTTATGCTGCCTTCTTTTCAGTCTCATGGAAGGCCGTTCCCACAGAAAGATTCCCATGGGCTGAAACCCTCTCGTTTTCTTTCTGGTCACTGTTGTATTTGCCCGTAAGTCATAAACCAGACTCTTTGTCCCCAGTGTGTGTTTTCTCTGCCATGATTTCCATCAGATGTTTCCTGTGAGCTTAACCGGAGACCCATCAAACACATGGCAACAGTGATCAGACAATGAGCAATGAACTACAAGTAGGGTTCCCTCACGCCTTGTAGCTGCATTGGTTTTGGTGCTGAACTCCACCTTTAAGCTGCAGAATTACGCTGAAAGACTCCCTAAACTATCCTATAAAAGTAGTACAGGCCACATCTACGGCTGGTGCAAATCCACTGGGATCCTTTGCCTTCAGTGAATCTTCACCAGTTAACAACCACCTTTATGACTGCACAAAAGCCGATTGAAAGTGTCAGCTCACTCCACCCCAAACTACCGCTGTCCTCTTGCTGCAGGCACAGCTCAGAGCATGAACAATCCCATGCCCCTGAAAAGATGTCTTTTAAAGGCCACGCTGCTGGCCATTTCACGGCTGGTCAGTTGAGAAGCATCCAGTGCTTATTGCACAATCCAGTTGCAATCAAGTGGGGAAATTCCTGTCGAATGATATGTCCAAACTGTAAATGTTTCAGTGAAGCTGTCGTGGTGTTCCCAGCCTGCCTCACCGAAAGTGCCGAGGAGCCCGAAGGCCCCACTCCTGAGACCCTGGCCTCAGAGTCCAGGCAACTTTGGTACAAAATTCAGGAGATCCTACAGCAGACTTAAGACCCATGAAGGCCCTTATTTATATGAGCCCCCGACAGCCACTGTTTGGAGCAGTGGGCTTGGCAGGTAACCAGATACAAGGCACTGTGTTTTGCACAAAGGAGAAGCAGAGACAGGATCAGGTACAAGAGCTGCATTTCAGCTCTCAGGTCTCTTTATTGGAACTCTAGTACTGCTTGACAGGTAGACGCATGCGCACAGGACATAAGGTAATGGGGTTGGTATTGCCTTGGTCACAAAGAAATGTAACAGCATTAAAAAGAAACTGGCCGGTCTAGGCCAGTGGGTCCACCCCATCTCTGCTATTGCACTCATCCATTAGCTATTCTAGTATTGCTTCTCCTTTCCGCACACCTCAGGAGCAGTCATCCAATGGCTTTAACCCTCCCAAAACACTCCCACGAGCAGTCTCGTCCAGAAGAGGAATCTGTACAGTGGAGAAGGGAGTAGCAAACATCATGGAGTTTAAAAAAAATAGTCCACAGCTACTGTTTGGCGGATGAACACAGTCAGAGCACTGATGGAGCCTGCAGGCGAGTGTCTTTGATGAGCATCCGGCGCCCAGCGGTGATCATCTGCGATGGGATCCAGGCACCGTCTAAGTTACTACAGCAGAATGACAGCAGTCACGGCGGCCAACAGGGCAGTCAACGAGTTAAAAGGGGGAGGGGGGTTGTTACTGGAACAGTACAGCACAGGTGTCCATAATGGCATTGGCAATGTGGGGGATCATGGTACACATCAGACAGACTATTGTACAACACATGCACAACAAGTTGGGTTACAGCACGGAGAGTGACTCCCCCCTCCCACCCCTCTGCCCTGTGTACATTTACAACAGGAAAATTGTCTGAGCAAATCCCAGCTTCCATGAGAGTCACGGGGGGTTCAAGAGTCCTGCAAAAACAAGGATTTTCAGTCTTGCACAGCAAAAGAGCCTTGCCAGTGGCTTCAGGACAGGCAAACATGCCCTGCTAAAGTTTCTTTGCTCTCTCTGTCTCTCTGCCTGTCGTCACAGGACCAAAGCCTTATGAGAAGGTGACAACCTCAGCTTGGGGATAATTAGAAGAGAGGACATCTTTGCAGCTCTCTGTGTTTAAAGGATACAGGTATTAAACACACCATTGCACAGCTTTTCCTTTCCGCACTTCCGACTCATGATTATTACTGTTGAAATGAATAAAGAGAGCAAGAGAATGAGAGCCGTGGGCTGGTGGATGCAGGCACTGAGAGGCTTCCAAGGGGAAAAGCAAGGACCATTTCCTCAGCTTTCTAAAGGCAGGAGAACACTGAAACCACCCAGACAAAATATGTGGTAGTTTGAGTTTGGACGAGTCAGAGAAAGACAAGGGATAAAGGAAATGCTGACACCACCCTGACCGACTATTCCTGGGGTTGAATATGGGACTGTTGTCCCCGGGGCTCTGTAGAGCATCGCCACCCTTGTTGAGCACCATGGCAGGTCCAAGGAGTAAGCTACCAGTGAGCACTGAACTATTCTTACCTTGGCTGAGACTCTAGTATGGAAATGGTTGAATACTGTGACCGCGAGTTACAGTAAAAATACACTTGAGGAACCATTCAGGATTGCACGAGGCAGAAAACCATCACCCTTTGCAGACCCACAGCATCCTCTCCTTGGCCAAGGAAGCCTGAGGCTGGGTAGGTTACCACGCCAGCAAAGAGCCTGCAGGGACCATGCCGTGTAGCTGTGCATCCTCTGGAGCTCATTCCATGTTTGTACTGACAACTCCCTGCTTCAGCTGAGCTAGGCTCAGATCCCAGATGCCCATGCATTCACAGCAGTCTGAATGAAGCTTCTGGGGATGGTAAATACTAGCTGGCAATCCCTGGGGTCCATTACCTAGCAAGTTACATGCAGGGAAGCAACATGAGGTTTGAGGAGGGAACTGCTATTAATTGTAGTCAGGAGATGTAACAGGGGAGAAGATCCCCCAGGGAACAAAGGCTATTCAAGGCCCCTGTATATATAATCCCAGCTAACACACTGAACAAAATAACTAAGGATATTAGGTGACCATATAAGTCTTGCTCTTCCCAGCATGCGTGAGAAAACACCGCCCAATCCGCGCCAATGGTGCAGTACATTTTGGAATCACCCTAGTCACCTCATTGCTACAAATTAGTATTGTTATTATTTGGCCAGATGGCCAAAGGATGTGAGGATGTGCCTACTTTTAAGCATGGGGTCGTGGGGGGTATTAGGCCAGAACAAAGCATGCAACTGGCAGGGGCCTGAGTTGATCATGGATCCCCACCCCACCCCACCCACTGAATTAGCAGCTATGAAACTGCCTGATTTCATGGCTGCTGTTGGTATGATTGTCTGGTAAAGAATAGGGAGGGGTCTGATATGAAATCTTTGCATAGGGCCTTCAAGAGGGCAACCCTGCCCTATAAAAGTGCAAGGAGGCCAAGCGGGTGCTTGAAGTTGAGCACATACTTATGAACAGGAATTTGCAAAGGCAGCTGGGATGCCCAGGAAAAATACTGGATCCGCAGGCTATGCCCTCTGTTTCCCAGCCATCCAGAGAAGTATTTTCTTTATCATAGTGGTGGGATACAACATTGCAGACATTCACAGGCTTCTCAGGAGTTGTTTGGGTTCAATAAAGAAGACTCTGTGCAAATGCTGGGTCTGGGTCTCGGGTGGGGAGTTGGACCTGGCTTTTCATGTATGCAGCTCAAGGACATTGTATTGTTGGCTCAAAATAGGCACTTCATAGAGGAACCGCGCTCTGAAGGAGACATGAATGAGATGTATGAATGTAAAGCGGCTTTAGAACTGCTGCCACGGAGCCACCCACTGACTTGGCTTTGGTGACAACTGCTTGAATATGACATTGCAGTGCACTCAGATGAACAGGTATTCAGGACCTTTCCTGAGCTGCAGCTGTGTGCAATGTCACGAGCAGCTGCTGGGCATCCACCTTTCCCATACTAATCCGTGTCCATCTGATAACAATATTGCTTCCTCTGGGTTGCATGCTAGGAATGCGTGAGATGAAACACCCTTTGGTTAGCACTGCCAGAAGAACAGCTGCAGTGGAAAACGGGGAGTGTAACCCCTGCTAACTCAGATCCCACGCAGCAGAGCGGTCTCTGCTTGTGGAGAGGAGAAGGTAACGTTCAGCCAGTGGGATCTCCATTTCCAATAGAGGCCTTCCAGAAAGGAAGCATGTTCTGTCCAGTCTAGCCTAGGACCCAGGATACCTGGGTTCGGCTCTCTGCTTCACCATAGACTCCCTGGGTGACCTTGGCAAGTCACTTTGACCTAGATCCTCAAAATTACTTAGGCAAAGGGAATCACTTGCCTAAAGCGGAGTTAGGTGCGTAATTTTTTGGAGTATGTTGGCCTTAATCCCTCTGTTTCCCATCTGGAAAAAAAATAGGGATAATACCAGCTTGGTGTTGGGAGATGCACGGATTGAATTTTATTAGTAGACGTAATTTTATTAGTAGATACTACAGTAATAGCAGTACCATAAATAGCTAGGTAGGGTCCCATGCAACTACCTGTCAAGGGGGGTATTCTTTAGACAGCAGCACTGTGAAGCCAATCCATCCACAGACATCCTAGGCTCAGACTACTTGATGCTGCACTACATTCACATCTACAGGCTTTTTGACTCATAACACATTTGCATGCTCTGTTACTCAAAGGCATCTATGTTGTATTGAGCAGATCCCCCGCCCCATCCCCCCTCTTACAACTGAACAGCTTTGGAGAGGATGGAAACTGCAGTTGGCTTTCTTGGGCTTTTCGGTGAAGCTGGTTTCTTTTTTAAGTTTCAGGTTGACCAATATTTCTGACATAAAAAAAAGATCGTGTTCAGTCTCCAAGACTGCAGGGGTGGGAACAGCTTGCAGATTAGGAGGGGCAGGCTGCCATGCATTTAGCTAAGTTGCATGTCCCCCCTGGGCTCAGCACGTGGAAAACGAGGTGCCCAGAAGCAGGACAGGATGCTCTGGACCCGGGGTGACTGCATCATACGTGGGAAGGTTAGTGTTAAAGCAGAGCCTCATCTCTGAGCATGGAGAATGGTCCAAGGGTCTGCTGGGCTTTTCTCCACTGGCTGATGGAGGGATGGGGGGATCTCAGGGGACAGTTATGCTGAAAGGTACTAATGGCTGCTACCATGCGAGTCTTTAGTTTAAAGACTCACATTTACCCACTGACCTTGCTATAGTCAAGGGGTCTGAGACATAAGAGAGAGAGCAATTAAAATCCTTCACATAGCAGAGGATGCTACAGGCAATGGAAGGCTGCCCAAGGTGCTTTTAAGGGCAGAGCCAAGCGGTGTGAGTTCATGGGTTTCCCTGACTGCACATGCAGGCCCTTGGCTTTGTGCCTGTGTTAGGGTATGGAAAAACAATGACACTGCCATGAGGTGGGAAAGAATGAGGACTTTGGGCAGAACTGCTCACACAAAGCGGGGCTCTGTCCACCCATTCTTATCCCATAGCAAAGGGAAACTAGCTCAAGGTAGCTCGGCCCTAAAGCAAGTGGGGTTAAATTGCCCAAGTACCTGGGAGCTGAGCTACATAGTCCAGTGACTAGAGTGCTGCCCTAGGACTGGAGAGTTCAGATTTATGACTGCTCTGTGCCTCAGTTTTCCCAGCTGGAAAATGGGAATGATGATGCCAACCTCCTTTATAAAAAGCTTTGCGATCTACCAATACAAAGAGCCAAACAAGGGCAAGGTGGTGGTATTGTTATTGGAAAGCTGCCCTCTATTGTGAGCGCTTAAATCTGATATGATACAAAAAATTATTCCCTGGCTTATAGGTACTTGATGACTGTGCTCTGAAATGTCATTACACGCCCTGCTGGGAAGTAACGGGCCAGCTCAAATGTACCATGGCCAGGAGTGAGTTCTACTGGCTTCTCTAGTGAAGAGAGATAAATGTTCCTGGGGAAGATCAGCTCTCGTGCATTATATATCTCCAATTTATCTTCCCCCCCTCTTTTTGCCGTTCCTCACAACAAGATTCACTTGAGATGGCAATTGTGGGAAATTAAAGCACCTGGGAAGGAATAAGACATTCAGGACAGGAATGACTGCTATGTGACGTGTTCCCTTAGGGCAGCACTGAAATGAAAGCAGGTTTGGGGGCTGAGAAAAAGAGGAAAATCAGGAGGGTGAAATTGCTCCTGAATCAGTCCTGGATGAGCCATCTGCAGTGACCAAAGCCATGCCCTCTACATCTAAAAGCATGCAGTGCTATCGCTTGAGCTAAATCACCAGCCCCATGCACTTACAGACAGCGTCACTCATAAATCAACTTCCGTGGTCTGGCTGCTGGAAGGGGGACAAAGACAAGTTTAGCTGGCACAGTATACCCTGCTCGTCCCCCAGAAGTCACCTCCACTCGGACAGGACGCTGCATCTTCAGCTGTATCACTTGAGCTATGCCATGTGCTGGAAGCAACGGTAGGCTCTTATGCTTTATATCAGGGATGTCAAACCTGTTGGGCCCCACAGGCTGCATCCAGCCCCCGGGGTTTAAACTTGCGAACAGTGGTAGCATTAATCCGCTGTTTCAGCACAGCTCCATAATCCAGGAAGTTAACACTGCTGCCACTTGCTCCCCACCCTTTTCCCTTGCCCCGTGGAAACTAAAACCCCCAATTTCAGTGGTGAATAAGGAGGAAGAGGAGGCGAACAGTATTAACTCCTTGGGTGCTGTAGCCGTACTGAAACGGAGGGGGTCAACGTTGCTGCCACAGGAGCACCGGCAGCCGCAGCAACAAGCCCTGAGGACTCAGCCTGGCCCATGGAAGTGGACAGCTCAGTCTGTGAAAAGCCCTGTGGCCAAGTAAGCCATGTGTGTGGGCCAGAGTTGGCCTATGGGCATGTGTTTCACACCTGTGCTTTATGCAGATTAGCCATTAGAAGGGGCAGAACACACTTAGCTAGCGAGTTACACATTGCTTATGGGTGACCGCGAGCAAATAAAACATTGTGGTCACTGCTGTAGCTCCTTGCTGCAGTGCGACTATGACAACTGCCCTCTTGGCCAATATACCTGGGGCTGTGGGGGACATTCATAACTAAAGCATGGGCTTCTACATGCTGAGCGAAAAAGAGGCAAGCACCTGCAACGGGGGAGTATAACTGCTCTTCTCCTTTGCAGATGATGCGCAGAAGGGAATCCAAAGCGCTCGCTCGCCACTGGGTCACATGATCTTGCGGTAGTGAGGTCTGCAGCCTGATTCTGGGTTATGTAAAAAAAAGCAAGCTCAAACTGCCTTCTTTACACTGCACTCACTGGGCCTGTTCCCCCTGACACAGCAGGGGTGTCACGGCCAGTGGAAGATACCAGTCTACAATCTTTAGCAATTTTCTTTGGACAGCAAAATCTTCAGGGTGGCGATTGTCTTACTACAGGTGTATGCAGTGCCTGGCACAGCTGGGCCCTGAGCAATCTGCTGCTGCAACAGAAGCACCCTGTTTGCAGTGCCCTGTCTGTAATACATCATAATAACAAGCCATGATATAGGGATGAGCTGTGCAAGCTTACCACCCACGCACCCTGCCAGTGCACCTCTATCCTGACCCGCCGTATGCCCTGCTATTCCAGTCCTGGACTGCCACAGACAGCTCTGCTGATGCTCCTCCCTCCTTGACCTGTAGCATCTCCTGCATTTTTAGCTCATCGCACCCACACAGCTATGCCACTGTTCTTCAGCCCAGATTTACAATTCCCACTGCCAGGCCAGTCATCAGGCCTCCCGGAGGACTGCCCACGCAATACCCTGCTAAATCCAGTCCCAGACCTCTCACACGGTCAGCCAGGGAGAGGACTGCTTGGCTATGGGAGCTTTATGGACAAACTCCATGACAATCTAAGCATGCAGCTCTACCAACTAGAGTGACAGGTTTAAAATTTCCTCCCAAACAGAAATTCCCACCTTTCAAAATTTGTTTTTTATGCTACATATGGAGAAAACATTAACATTGTTTTCAAAAATCCCCATAAAACAGGTATTGAAAAAAATAATTTAAAAGTTTCATTTCGTATTTCAGCCTTGAATTTTATGTCATGACTTTTTTCCATTTTAGACTGCTTTAATTTACTTCCTGTTATGTTAGTAGTATCTTCACATTATGCACAACTTCTACTGACATATCACCGTATGGCTTATTAGATGGACTACTCTATTGTTTTATTATAAAATCATTAAGGACAGGTACTACTTAGTACTGATTAAATGCTATCCTCTTCTTTGTTAGAGCAAAGTGTCTCCTGGTTTGGCTGTCATGAAATAGTCTGACAAGGCTCAACTTGACAGAATTATGCACTGCTACTGCCATACTAGAAAATAATGTAATAATGATCAAAATACTAGAGAAGCAACATAAAATGAAAGAAAATTTAAAATTTTACAATACTGACTTCCCCAAATTACGTTTTTTTTCATTCAAGTTCTTTTCTGTGGGAAACTGAGTTGAAATCAGTATAATTTCATGAAAAACAATCCGATTCCACCCAAACCTTTCTGATGGGCTCTCAACCAGATGTCCCAAAGCCAAAGCCTTAATAACCCACATTGCTCTAGCTCTTTGTCACTGAATTAATTTATATTGACTGGCACTCCTGGTCACAGCAGAAACTTGAAGGCTGTGCCAGCATTGGGTTTCCCGTCTGAAAGCCTCTCAGACAAGCAGCACAATAAAGACAGCTCTATTTAACAAGGCATGGGAGCAGGGAGTGGAGATTGGGTTCACGCCCCAGTTTGGGCATTGCTGTACACTTTGCTTTCTGCACCGGCTGGGATCCTTTAAACTCTCTGTGCATCAGTTTCTCCTTTCTGCAAAATGAAATTCCCACCTGTGATAAGAAATCTGAGGGCTGCAGATGAAAAGTGATATGTATGCTGGAATAAGCCCCACCGAATTCATCACTCCACAGATGGCAAGGCCAGAAGGGACCATGATGGCTATCTTGTTCGACAACCTGAAGAACACAGACCATAGCACTCAGTCAGTGATTCCTTCAGCCTGCCCATAATTTCTGGATGAGCTTATTGTTTAGAAAAAGACCCATTCTTGATTAAAGCGCTACATGTGGATAGAAACAATAGGGCTTTCCAAGAGATCCTTTCTATAGGTTTTGTCACCAGCTTACAGACTATTACAGCAGAGACAAAGCAGCTTAGAACACAGGATCACTAGAAAAAGATCTCCATCTTTAAGTGGGTGATCTTTAAAGATCTTTAACTTTCCTGTCTGGTGGCTAGGTAACAGACTCCGAGCTAGGACCCTGAGAGTATTAATGGATGGAACTGAGTCAGCATGGGGGAAGGTGACCAGTGGCATCCCTCTGGGTTCAGTATTTGGCCCAGTGCTTTTCAACATGTTCATCAATGATT